GGGCGCCTGGATGGCTCAGTCGTTAAGCGTCTGCCTTCGGCTCAGGTCATGATCCCAGGGTCCTGGGATCGAGCCCCGCATCGGGCTCCCAGCTCAGCGGGAAGTCTGCTTGAAGATTCTCTCCCTGGGCCCCTCCCCTACACTCTGGAGCGTGTGCTCACTCATGTGCTCTCTCTCAAATTAATTAATTAATTAAAAAAAAAAAAAGAAATAATACAGGGACGCCGGGATGGCTCATTCGTTAAGCATCTGCCTTTGGCTCAGGTCATGATCCTGGGATTCTGGGACTGAGCCCCATGTCTGGCTTCCTGCTGGGGGATGGGTAGCTGCTCCTCCCTCTCCCTCTGCCTGCTGCTCCCCTTGCTTATGCTCTCTCTCTCTGTCAAATAAATGAATAAAATCTTTAAAAAAAAAAAAGATACAGAGCAGGACTAAGTGCTAAAGGTGGACGGAAAGGATGGTGAAGGAAGTGACATGAAAGCACTGCTTTAAGACCATTCATTCCATAAATAAATAAAAATAAATTTTAAAAAGGGGCGCCTGGGTGGTGCAGTTGGTTAAGTGTCTGACTCTTGGTTTCAGCCCGGGTTATGACCTCAGGGTCATGAGATCGAGATCCGGGTCAGGCTCTGGGCTCAGTGTGGAGTCTGCTTGGATATCTCCCTCTCCCTCTCCCTCTGCCCCTCCCTCCTGCTCTCTTTCTCTCTGTTTCTCTAAGAATAATAAATACATCTTTTTTTTTTTTTAAAGATTTTATTTATTTGACAGAAAGAGACACAGCGAGAGAGGGAACACAAGCAGGGGGAGTGGGAGAGGAAGAAGCAGGCTTCCCGCTGAGCGGGGAGCCCGATGCGGGGCTCGATCCCGGGACTCCAGGATCATGACCTGAGCCGAAGGCAGTCGCCCAACCAACTGAGCCACCCAGGCGCCCCATAAATACATCTTTTAAAAAATTAAAAAGAAATAATACCATTCGCTCCTTCATACAGAACAGTTTCATCTGTCCCTCAATTTGGGCATTGAAGAACAGCTACCATTTAGCTAAGTAGCCAAGAGAACCACCTAAGGGGCTCCAGATTTACAGCCTCACTATTCATGAATGCCCTGTTTGCGAATTTGCCTTCTGGCTAAAGTACAGGTATTTGTAAACCCCAAATCAGTGCTCCAGATGCCTTCACTGTCATTCACAGACCTGCGCGAGCCACAAACCACTGGAGCCTCCCCCTGCACATCTTCCCAGCTGAGGTTAGAAAAGTGACATTCTCTTCTTGTCTCAGACCTCATATTATAAACAAGCATTTTTTTTCATAGTCCACTGTGATGTGCCTGATGGAGAAAATACGCCTGCTAGGTAAGCTTCGTTCAGGCATGAGTTGGAGCCCTGTTGGCCATGAATTCTAGTTAATGAATCAACAGTATATATTAAAGAAGGTGTCTTTAAAGAGAAACACACATAAAATAAGTTTATGCATTCATTGGTTGAAGAAAATGTGACCAGAGGAACATAACCCTGTATTTTCTCCAGGGCAATGTGTCAGTATAGTCTCTCTAATTCATTGTTAATTGTGACTTTAGAGAACATAGCTACAATGACTAATGAGCATCGGCTGTAGTTCTCTAATTGGATTTTTTTTTTAAGATTCATTTATTTTATTTTTTATTTTTTTAAAGATTTTTATTTATTTGACAGAGAGAGACATAGCAAGAGAGGGAACACAAACAGAGGGAGCGGGAGGGGGAGAAGCAGGCTTCCTGCTGAGCGGGGAGCTCAATGTGGGGCTTGATCCCAGGACCCTGGGACCATGACCTGAGCTGAAGGCAGATGCTTAATGACTGAGCCACCCAGGCATCCCAAAGATTCATTTATTTTAGAGAGAAAGAGAGAGCAGGGGGAGGGGCAGAGGGAGAGAAAATCCCAAGCAGATGCCCTGCTGAGCATGGAGCCCAATTCGGGCCTGATTTCACGATCCAGAGATTACGATCCAGAAAGTACCACCCCAGCCGAAATCGAGTCAGACGCTCAACTGACTGAGCCACCCAGGTGCCCCTCTCTAATTGGATTTTTAACTATCTTCTTTTGCTTGTGTTCTGGCTGTATTGTTCCTTCTTGAAGATGATTGTGTTCCCTAAGGAACACAGGCTGGGTATCCTGTGGCAGACTGGGTGGTCCCTAAAGATAAGCCCATACTTCAGTGCCTCCTCCACCTCTGTGGAGCCCTTGTTCAGGAGCTCAGGAGTCTGCTTCCTTTCTTCCCACTGACCTTTTGAATCAACCAGTGGTAAAGTCTTGACCGTGGTGGTCTGGAGCAGGGTTCGCAATTCCCCGTATGTGCAAGTGGCTGAAACAAACTTCACATCACGTACCATGATGTCCTCAACAAAGATGGTAAATTTGCTATGGGGGGAGAAGGCATGGGGGGTTAGGCCCACCATATGCTTGTTCCTTTGCTGTTCCTTCCATTCCTCCCGTGAGGTTTGCCATGCATTCCATCACTCGTAATATTCATTAAGTCCATGGGAACATCAAAATAAGTAAAAGGCAGTGTTTCCAAATGTTGATCCTAACCTCAGTCTCCACCTCAGAAGCTCCCGCCCCTCACCCCATCCAGTCTGAATTAATTCCAGCTGGTGCCCTGACCTGAGCTGGTTCCAACCAAGGTCAGGCAAGTAGGGTAGCTTCTTGACCTGGATGATGCTGTCATAGAGAGAGGGCTGCAGGCTCTGAGCCACCATGTTGGCCAAGATGACAGCCACCATCATGGGTAAGATGTGGGCAATCTGACCCGTTAATTCGAAGCAGATCACAGCTGTGGAGACTGTGTGGGATACTGCACCAGTCAGCGCTGCTGCCCCTAGAATGACACAGGAATGTACCGGTGGGTTAGGGCTGCCATTCTTGGCATGGAGGGCAAGTGGGGATGTGATGGCAGACAGGATCCTGGTCAATGCCAACACTCCTGACATAACCATCTGTCAAGAGTGGGGGCTAGAAAACTGTTAGCAAATCATTTTGATCTCATTCTATGTCCTTTGGCAATTTACAAGATCATTGCGTGTGCCCAAGTTTTCATTTGTAAAATGAAGATAGTGATGTCCTATCTATTCCTTGCTTTTGAAAGTTTGGATCATTCTTTTTTTTTTTTTTTTTTTTAAGTGATCTCTACATCCGACATGGAGCTCAAACTCACAACCCTGAGATCAGGAATCACATGTTCTATTGACTGAGCCATCCAGGCACCCCAAAAGTTTGGATCATTCTTAACTGAGCATTCTAAAACCCAGTGATGGCATTTTCTATTGGACCCCAGGTTTTGATGCCAACAATTTATGAGTGAAGAGAGTCAAAACCCAGGACTCATGCTGTGAACTTGGGGTAATGACAGCTGCATCAGATCCTGATTCTACAATTTCTCAACTGTATGTGTAGAACTTGATCCTTCTGGAATCCCATACTCGCATCTCTAAGGTAAAAAAGGTCATTAAATAAGTTGTAAGACACTTGCAGATCTAAAATGTTATGATTCTACGAACTCTTTGAAAACAGAATCTTATTTGTTTTTAGTTATGCTCTCCCATCAACAAAAATAGTCACTAGAAGGTATACATGAAAAGAGAACAAGAAAAAGACACAAAAGGGTGCCTGGGTGGCTCAGTCGTTAAGCGTCTGCCTTCGGCTCAGGTCATGATCCCAGAGTCCTGGGATCCAGTCCCACATCGGGCTCCCTCTTCCGAGGGAAGCCTGCTTCTCCCTCCCACTCCCGCTGCTTGTGTTCCTGCTCTCGCTGTATCTCTCTCTGTCAAATAAATAAATAAAATCTTTAAAAAAAAAAAGAAAAAGAAAAAGACACAAAAGAGAGGGGCACAATTGATAGAGCATGTGACTCTTGATCTCAGGGTCATGAGTTCAGGCCCCACGTTGGGTGTAGAGCTTACTTAAAAAAAGAAAAGTCACAAAAGGGAAATACTGGGAGGAATAATTCTACAAGATGGTACACATGATATACTTCAGAATATAAACTGTCACAGGAGATATGTATCCTGGGAAATGTCCACCAGGGAGGATGGGGTGATACCTGAGAGTCATGAAGATGGGGAATAAGAGCAAGTGACTCTTACTGATGAAAGAGGCTTTCTTAAAGGTCTGTGATGGGGGATTGAGGACAGCATATGCACTGGAAAGCTGCCTGATTCTTCTATATTTAAGGGAGGCATGGTCTTAGATGTTACGGGGTTTTTGTGAAGAAGAAAAGGAGGGCAGAGGCATAATAATTTTGAGGATTATACTGGCCACTGTATTTGTTAGACAGGGTTTTGGTTGGATGGGATTGTGGATTTAATGAGAAAAAGATTATCACAGATTCTCAGAATGTTAGGGCTGTAAGATATCTCAGAAGTCATTTTACAATAAAGAAACTCAGGTGCAGAAAGGTAACTAACTTGCTCCACAGTCATCCAGGTGACAAGTGGCAAGGATGAGTACAGAGCCCGTGTTTCTTAGCTCTTAGTCATGTACTCTTAAGTCCTGTCAGCATTAGCACACCTGCAGTTTGAGAGTATCCAAGCCAGTCACCTGCACTGTTGATTCTATGATTCTTTGGAAGGAAAGGAGAAACCCTTACCAAACATTCAGACACAATCTTAGGTGCTTTCGTTCTTATTATCTCGTTTAATCCCCATAATCCCTTTTCTACATAAAGAAACTAAGGCTCAAAGACGTTCAATGAGAGCTAATGAGAATCAGAGCCAAGGGTTGATTATTTGAATAAAAGTTGAATCAATAGCATAAAATTAAGCATTGTGTAGTTTGTCTGGAATAAAGATGTCATGGGAGAGTTTGAGTGCGTCTGGTAGGGGTTACCCGAGGGTGGAATGTGTCTCACCAATTACTGCATAGCCCCCGGGTAGGATCTTGTAGATGATGTCATCAAATAGGATACCATCAGGGAATAGCATGGCCATGATCTCTCCTACCAGCCTTCCAAATGCAGCTCCTGGAGGAAAGACAAAAGAAAGGAAGGTGTTGAAAGATCTGAGTTCCTTATCCTCTATATTTCAGAGCCTCCTTGGCATTAAGACCAAATACAAGCCCCCGGCATTCCAGGCCTTTCCTTAATTTCCCAGTACCCTAGATTGCGACTATCAGCAAGATTCCAGGCTTCCCATCAGAACTTACCGAGCACAAACACAGGCATGAAGCCTCCGCAGGGTATAGGCATAGTGGTGGCCACGATGGACATCCAGAACTGGAGTAAAAAGAGGCATCAGGACACCCTCTCAACTCTGCCCAATATACTCCACTCCCTCCCCACTTCCAACCCTCCCTCTTGCCTCAAGAGTCACAGAAACCCTGGGATAGCTAATCCTTCCAGAAGCCATCTTGTCTGCACCCCTCCTCCAGAACCAAAAATGTGGAGTACTCGCTCAGGGTAAAGACCACCAAAAACAATACTATAAGAAAGTTCCTCCTGATGATCGTTTCTACTTGGAATGACTATATTTGCCTTCAGGCAATCTAGAACAAGGAGTGGAGCCCCTGACAACACCTGTCACTGCTCCAGAAGGGTTCTAGCCTATACTATACCCTCTTAGCCCAAAAAGGTCACCTCAGCAGAACAGCCTGAAACTTTTGAAGCTGGAGGATATCTTTTCCTGGTCAGATTGTGTTTCTGAGAAAGAGCCCAGCTCTAAGTGGCAGACATCTTAGAGTTTTAGTGACTTCCTATGTGAGTAATTTAATGATATGGTCATCTAGAAACCCACTTATATGGAAACCTCACAAGGGAACCTGGAGTGAAGACTGTCCTGCCTGAGTCATTTCCTTTAGCATCACATCACATTAAACAGAGGTTCAAAAGATCAGATCTATCCTAGCCATACTGGAAGGGCACACTGAGAAAGCTAGCCAGTGTAACAGAAAAGATCTTAAAGGCCAACTCTGTCAGGTAGTATTCCAACAGAAACCAGGACAATTTTAGCAAAAGCAACATGTACATTCTGTGGCAAAGAATGTGGAAGAACTGAGAAATAGAGTGGAAAAGGAGCATTGGTTGAACTTTTGAAATATCTGTAAAAGAAATAAAAATATGAGACACAACATGTAAATTTAGAAACAGGTCTATATGTCACTTCCAAAATAAGTAAGCCAATCTTACAAAAGGATCTCAAACTCATGTGGTGAAAGATGGTAGCAGCTAAATCAGAACAAATCGAAATATTTGTAATTGAAAATCTGTACCAAGTGCATTGTAAGCAAATGAGAAATACATTTTTTACTTTTCTGAACCTTAGAAAGATTCCCTTGAGCCAGGGCTGATGTCAAGAGGCCATGACAAAGTCTTCATCCCAAAAGCTCTGAGATGAGACAAAATGTATACTTCTTCATGTCAGAATATGACCATGTAGAACAGCTAAGAACTGCAAAGTCAAATGTACATATGAAGAGAATATAGACGAGAAAGCCTGGAGTATAGGGCAACTGTGTGTCTTGTTTTCTCTGCCTGCTCTCAGCCCTGGAGTGGTGCTCATCAACGCAGGTAGGATGTAGGTAGGTCACGGGGGAGGGAAGGAGGGAGGAAGGAAAGAAAGAAGAGAGCCTGGTCAAATAGTGTCCATACAACACAGAAAAGGCTTCTCAGAGCTACTATTTGCTGAAACACCCAACAGAAATGCTTGTTGGGTAATTTGTTGAAACTGCAAATAACTAGACACCACGTCAGTCTACATGGACACGGAGTTCTGGGCACTTGTAACTTACTTAACTTTTGCAAATGATTGTGACATAACAATTGGAGACCCTTTGAACTATTCTGTACCATCTCTTTGAAATAAGCACATGAAAGCTGTAATGGATTTTGTAGGCTTGGGTTAATCTGAAAGCTCCAGTAATACAGATTATAGGTGGCTGATAGGTCTGATTTCAGAGGATGAATTTTGGATTATCCCCCAAGATATGTGGAAGAACAGATGAGGATCAGAGGGCACTGAAGTGATCAACTCCTAAGGTCAAAGAATGATATGAGGCTAGAAAACTTTTTGAGCTATTAGCACACGAAAGGAAAGATCCAGAAGCAATGTAAATAATGTAGAACACAAATAACTCCCAAGAATTTCAACACCCAATTCTAAAGAACTGGGAAACTAGAGACCATCATGACAGATTCCACTTCATTTAGACCCTTGACAAGAAGGAGTGTTATGGAGAATTCTACAGAGCCTTCAGGCTATGCTGATCAGTGATACTAGATAATAACATTAGGCTTATTAAAAAGCAAAACTGAGAAGTTGTAATTTTATTCATACCCATTGAGCAGCTGCTGACTTACAACATGATGATACTTCCCATGTCTTAAGATTGAGGAAGATGGAAGTTCCCTTCATCAATAGCTGAGAACCTTATCTGCCTGTCCGGACACCACCAGAAGCCCACACAGGCTAAATTTCAAACCAGACTGTGGAAAAATAGTTCTAGTCACTTTCATATTCTAATTTGGCTATGTAGCCTATTACCTACACTTAGGAATAAATAAAGGGATGGATGCGTATGTGCCCAGTAACAGAAAAGTGAAAATGCTGGAGGCAGTGATAATCAGACAATATCATGGATTTATAGCAACGAGTGGTGTTACATTTATAAATATTATGGAATGGCATAGGCCTGATGCAAACTGTGGGGCTTGAAATACAGCCCAGGAAATATGTGAGTTTCTTCCCCTGTTATGCTTATGATGTAAACATTATCAAGGATGTGACTAAGTGAGAAATTAATAATAGCAACATACAGTTGAGTCCTGCTATATAATCCAAGTAGGCTTCTCAGGATAAACTTTAATCTGTGAAGTCAAATCCAGCTATATACTTGGGAATCTGGGGAGGTGAGGTGAGGTGTAGGGGAAGTGTTGAAAAATACACGGTATTTTGTTTCTATAAAACTTTGCAAGAGCTTGACATTTTAAAAGTATGTATGATCCCAGAGTTACCATATAGTTCAGTCTAGAGGAACATCAGGAAAACACAATCATTATCCTTGAACAATAAATTCTGAGATACTATCAAAGCTTGGACTTGGTTACTTACAGGAAGCTGGGATTTATAAGTTAGAGAAGAGGAACTCTGTATTGAAAGTCCAAAAGTCAATTCCCTAACAAGGCACTGAGAACTTATTTACAATGAAAATATCAAATCTTTTGAAGAAGACATAAAAAAGACCTAATTAATAAAGCAGGCGTACAAAATATGGAAGCTGCCGACCCACTGAATGCACACGGAGTGGAATGGGAAAGAACATGCAGAGATCCAGCTTTTAGAAACCCAGAGCAAATCCTGAGAAGGTAAGTCACAGAGTTGGAACCCAATGTGTCAAGCACCTGGTGTTTTTAAAGATTATTTATTTATTTATTTATTAGAGAGTGAGCAGGAGAGAAACAGCATGAGAGGGGAGAGGGTCAGAGGGAGAAGCAGGCTCCCC